CCTTGGGATCCCTCAACTTCTGGGACCATCCAACCCTTGGGATCCTTCAACTTTTGCTACCTCCCAACTCCTGGAATCCTTCAACCTTTGGGATCCTTCAACTTTTGGGATCTCCCAACTCTTGGATCCTTCAACTCTTCAGATCTCCCAACTCTTGGGATTCCCCAACCCTTGAGATCCTTCAACCTTTGGATCCTCCAACTTTTGGAATCCTCCAACCAATTCTTGAGATCCTTCAACCCTTGACATCTCTCAACCCTTGAGATCCCCCAACTTTTGGGATCCCTCAACCTTTGAGATCCCCCAAACTCCTCAACCTCTGGGACCATCCAACCCTTGGGATCCCTCAACTTTTGGGATCTCCCAACTCTTGGAATCCCTCAAATTTTGGGCTCTCCTGGTGCAATCCCCCATCCCAAGCCCCCCAGACTCACTCTTGGTGTCGAGCTGGGCCGCGTACTTGCTGAAGGATTTGAGCGTCACCTTCTCTCCCAGGAGGTTCCAACTCTTGGGAACCTTCAACCTTTGGGATCCCCCAACTTCTGGGACCATTCAACCCTTGAGATCCTTCAACTCTTGGGATTTCCCAACTCTTGAGATCCTTCAACTTTTGGGATCCTCCAACTCTCAGAATCCTTCAACTTCTCAGATCTCCCAACCCTTGGGATCCTCCAACTCTTGGGATCCTCCAACTTTTGGGATCCTTCAACTTCTCAGATCTCCCAACCCTTGGGTTCCTTCAACTCTTGGGATCCTTCAACCCTTGACATCTCTCAACTCGAGATCCTTCAACTTTTGGGATCTCCACACCCTTGGGATCCTCCAACCTTTGGGATCCCCCAAATTCTGGGAGCACCCAAATTCTTGAGATCCTTCAACCCTTGAGATCCTCCAGTTCTTGGAATCCTTCCAACTCTTCAACCTCTGGGATCTCCCAACTTCTCAGAGCACCCAACCCTTGAGATCTTTCAACTTCTGGGATCCTCCAGCTTCTGGAACCAACCAACCCTTGGGATTCTCCAACCAACCCTTGGGATTCTCCAACCAACTCTTGGGATCCTTCAACCTTTGGGATTCCCCAACTCTTGGAATCCTTCAACTCTTGAGTTCCTCCAACTTCTGGGACCACCCAACCCTTGAGATCCCCCAACCCTCTGGATCCTTCAACCTTTGGGATCCTCCAGTTCTTGAGATCCTTCAACCCTTGGGATCCTTCAACTTTTGGGACCACCCAACCCTTGAGATCCTTCAACTTTTGGGATCTCCCAAGTTTTGGGATCCTTCAACCCTTGGAATCCTCCAACCCTTGAGATCCTCCAACCCTTGGGATCCCCCAAACCTTTGGAATCCTTCAACCTTTGGGATCCTCCAACTCTTGGGATCCTTCAACTTCTGGAATCACCCAACTTTTGGGATCTCCCAACTCATGGAATCCTTCAACTCTTGGGATTCCCCAACTCTTGAGATCCTTCAACTTTTGGGATCCTCCAACTCTTGGAATCCTTCAACTTTTCAGATCTCCCAACTCTTGGGATCCTCCAACCTTTGGGATCCCCCAAATTCTGGGACCATCCAACCCTTGAGATTCTTCAACCAAAGCTTGGGATCCTCCAACTTTTGGGATCTCCCAACTCTTGGGATCCTTCAACCTTTGGGATCTCCAAACCTTTGGAATCCTTCAACCCTTGGGATCCTTGAACTTTTGGGATCCCTCAACTCTTGGAGTCCTTCAACTTCTGGGACCACCCAACCCTTGAGATCCTTCAATCAAAGCTTGGAATTGTTCAACCTTTGGGGTCCTCGAACTGTTGGGATCCTTCAATCCTTGGGATTCCCCAACTTCTGGGACCATCCAACCCTTGGGATCCTTCAACTTTTGGGATCTCCCAACTTTTGGAATCCTTCAATTCTTGGGATTCCCCAACTCTTGAGATCCTTCAACTTTTGGGATCCTCCAACTCTTGGAATCCTTCAACTTCTCAGATCTCCCAACTCTTGGGATCCTCCAACTCTTGAGATCCTTCAACCCTTGACATCTCTCAACCCTTGGGATCCTCCAACTTTTGGGATCCCTCAACTTTTGGGATCCTCCAACTCTTGGAATCCTTCAACTTTTCAGATCTCCCAACTCTTGGGATCCCCCAAATTCTGGGACCACCCAAATTCTTGAGATCCTTCAACCCTTGGGATCTCCCAACTCTTGGGATTCCCCAACTCTTGAGATCCTTCAACCTTTGGATCCTCCAACTCTTAGAGTCCTTCAACTCTTGGAGTCCTTCAACTTCTGGGACCTCCTAACCCTTGGGATCCTTCAACCAACTCTTGAGATCCTTCAACCCTTGGGATCCTTCAACCCTTGGGATCCCTCAACTTTTGGGATCCCCCAACTTTTGGGATCTCCCAACTCTTGGAATCCTTCAACCCTTTGGATCTCCTAAACTTTTAGGATCCCAGATCCTGAGAAGACCCCAAGAAGATCCTGAGAAGATCCCAAGCCCCCCAGACTCACTCTTGGTGTCGAGCTGGGCCGCGTACTTGCTGAAGGATTTGAGCGTCACCTTCTCACCCAGGAGGTTCCAACTCTTGGGAACCTTCAACCTTTGGGATCTCCCAACTTCTGGGACCACCCAACCCTTGGGATCCTTCAACTTTTGGGATTCTCCAACTTCTCAGATCTCCCAACCCTTGTGATCCTTCAACCTTTGGGATCCTTGAACTTTTGGGATCCCTCCACCCTTGGGATCCTTCCACCTTTGGGATCCTCCAACTTTTGGGATCCTTCAACCCTTGACATCTCTCAACCCTTGAGATCCCCCAACTTTTGGGATCCCCACACCCTTGGGATCCTCCAACCTTTGGGATCCCCCAAATTCTGGGAGCACCCAAATTCTTGAGATCCTTCAACCCTTGAGATCCCCCAACTTTTGGGATCCCCCAAACTCCTCAACCTCTGGGATCCTCCAATTTCTGGGACCATCCAACCCTTGGGATCCTTCAACTTTTGGGACCACCCAACTTCTGGGATCCTCCAACTCTCGAAATCCTTCTACTTTTCAGATCTCCCAACTCTTGGGATCCTTCAACCTTTGGGATCCCCCAAATTCTGGGACCATTCAACTCTTGAGATCCTTCAACTCTTGGGATTCCCCAACTCTTGGAATCCTTCAACTTTTGGGATCCTCCAACCCTTGGGATCCTTCAACTTCTGGGACCACCCAACCTTTGGGATCTCCCAACTCTTGGAATCCTTCAACTCTTGGGATTCCCCAACTCTTGGGATCCTTCAACCTTTGAGATCCTTCAACCTTTGAGATCCCCCAAACTCCTCAACCTCTGGGATCCTCCAATTTCTGGGACCATCCAACCTTTGGCATCCTTCAACTTTTGGGACCATCCAACCCTTGAGATCCTTCAACCAAAGCTTGAGATCCTTCAACCCTTGGGATCCTCCAACTGCTGGGATCACCCAACCCCTGGGGTCCTTCAACCTTTGGAATCCTCCAACTTCTGGGACCATCCAACCCTTGAGATCCTCCAACCCTTGAGATCCTCCAGCTTCTGGAATCACCCAAATTTTGGGCTCTCCTGGTGCAATCCCCCATCCCAAGAAGATCCCCAGCCCCCCAGACTCACTCTTGGTGTCGAGCTGGGCCGCGTACTTGCTGAAGGATTTGAGCGTCACCTTCTCTCCCAGGAGGTTCCAACCCTTGGGAACCTTCAACCTTTGGGATCCCCCAACTCTTGGGATTCCTCAGCTCTTGAGATCCTTCAACCTTTGGGATCCTTCAACTTTTGGGATCCTCCAACTTCTGGGATCTTCCAATTCTTGGAGAAAACCCTTGCCATCCTTCAACCAACTCTTGAGATCCTTCAACCTCTGGGATCCTCCAACTTTTGGGATCCCTCAATCCTTGAGATCCCCCAACCCTTGGGATCCTTCAACCTTTGAGATCCCCCAACTTTTGTAATCCCTCAACCTTTGAGATCCCCCAAATTCCTCAATCTCTGGGATCCTCCAATTTCTGGGACCATCCAACCTTTGGGATCCTCCAGTTCTTGGAATCCTTGCACTTTTGGCATCTCCCAACTCTTGGAATCCTTCAACCAACTCTTGAGATCCTTCAACCATTGGGATCCCCCAAACTCCTCAACCTCTGGGATCCTCCAATTTCTGGGACCATCCAACCCTTGGGATCCTTCAACCTTTGGGATCCTTCAGTTCTTGGAATCTTTCAACCCTTGAAATCCTTGAACTTTTGGGATCTCCCAGTTCTTGGATCCTTCAACCAACTCTTGAGATCCTTCAACCCTTGGGATCCTTCAACTTTTGGGATCTCCCAACTCTTGAGATCCCCCAAGCTTTGAGATCCTTCAACCTTTGGTATCCCCCAAATTCTGGGACCATCCAACCCTTGGGATCCTTCAACCTTTGGGATCTCTCAACTTCTGGGATCCTCCAACTGTTGGGATCCTTCACCTTTTGGGATCTCCCAACTCTTGGGATCCTTCAACCCTTGACATCTCTCAACCCTTGAGATCCCCCAACCCTTGGGATCCTTCAACCTTTGAGATCTCCCAACTCTTGGGATCCTTCAACCCTTGGGATCCTCCAACTCTTAAGATCCTTCAACCCTTGGGATCCCTCAACTTTTGGGATCCCCCAAATTCTGGGACCACCCAAATTCTTGGGATCCTTCAACCCTTGGGATCCTCCAACTTCTGGGATCTCCCAACTCTTGGAATCCTTCAACCTTTGGATCCTCCAACTCTTGGGATCCTTCAACCTTTGAGATCCTCCAGTTCTTGAGATCCTTCAACCCTTGGGATCCCTCAACTTTTGGGATCCCCCAAATTCTGGAACCACCCAACCCTTGAGATCCCTCAACTCTTGAGATCCTTCAACCTTTGGGATCCCTCAACTTTCAGGATCTCCTGGTGCAATGGGACATCCCAGATCCTGAGAAGACCCCAAGAAGACCCCAAGAAGCCCCCAGACTCACTCTTGGTGTCGAGCTGGGCCGCGTACTTGCTGAAGGCTTTGAGCGTCACCTTCTCCCCCAGCAGGGTCAGGAACTCGTCGAGCGCGGGCCCGGCGGCCTCGTTGTTGTA